GATTGTTTGTCTTTTTGTTATTGAGGTGTTGGAGTGTTCTATAAATTCTAGAGATAAGTCCCATTGTTCTCTCTTTGATCCCATTAACTACCTTCTGAACCTGGTGCTGGTGTATCTCTGACCCTCATTCTAATGTTCCTGCTGGATGCTGCCTGCCTGGCACTTCATGTGCCTGGCAGGGCTTACTGATACCCAGCTATGTCCATGCCAGGATCCCAGAGGAGAGCCAGCCACCCAGCAAGCAGGTGAAACCACTCTTCCGCCACTTCCGCCGAATAGACTCCTGTCTGCAGACCCGAGTGGCCTTTCGGGGCTCTGATGAGAGTGAGTGTGGACTGGGTCAGCACCTTCTTTAGAGCCAAACAACTTAGGGTTGGAGGTGGGGTGGGATGGAGAACAGAGGTGCCCTGGAGGGGACCGTGCCAGTGCCATGACTCTGCCCTCTGATGAACATCTGCCTTCTATCTCTGTCCAGTCTTCTGCCGGGTCTACATGCCTGACCACTCTTACGTGACCATACGCAGCCGCCTCTCAGCATCTGTGCAGGACATTCTGGGCTCCGTGACGGAGAAACTGCAATACTCTGAGGAGCCCGCTGGGCGAGAGGATTCTCTCATCCTGGTAGCTGTGGCCTCCTCGGGAGGTGAGAGTCAGGAAGAGCTGGGCAGGGGTCAGGAGAAGACAAGCCCAGTGCTCTGGGACAAGGTGAAGACTGACTTCTAGGCTCTTGCTACTCAAAATGTGGTCCTGGGGCTAGCAGCACGGGCATCTCCTGGGAGCTTGTTAACAAAGTAGTATCTCAGACCCCAACCCATCCTAATCTGCATTTTAATAAGATGCCTAGGTGACTGCTGTGCACATTAAAGTTTGAGAAGCACTGGTTCAGTTCTTCTGAACTGCTCTGGGTGTGGTCTCGCACTCACCTTGGGGTCATGCTCTGGCCTTTTAATCTCCCTGGGCATCTAAGGATGCTACATTTTTGAGGCTAAGGATACAAAAGGGGCCTCTCATTTCTAGAGTAGTGGCTGTGGAAAGGCAGAAAGCCTCCAATGTAGCTTCAACCTTACCTGTCCATCCCTAAGACGGGAGAAAAATTCCTGCCTTTCCAGTGCCACAGGGGTGAGAGAATGGGAGAAGAGCTGTGAAAGAACTGGGGGTAAAAAGGAGGCTATTAATACAAAAATAATAATAATAATAATAATAATTTGAAAATTTTCAAACGTGTGGCACAGATTGAGTCCCATTAGCCTAGAATGTGTCAGTCTGGGGTTAGGAGATTTTGGATGGGGTGGCAACAGTGGCTGGGTGTGTGTGGAAGGGACTGGTACAGGTGGCTGAGCCTGGCTGCAGCTGAACAGCTTGTCCCCTGCAGAGAAGGTCCTCCTGCAGCCGACTGAGGACTGTGTGTTCACCACGCTGGGCATCAACAGCCACCTGTTTGCCTGTACCCGGGACAGCTACGAGGCCCTGGTGAGAACTCTTTCACAAGGCCTGCCTGGGAGCTGCGGGTGGCTGCGGCAGTCCCTCACACCACCAGCCACCCAGAGCCCAGCCCCTATGCCCTTGCCTGCCACCAGGTGCCCCTCCCCGAGGAGATCCAGGTCTCCCCTGGCGACACAGAGATCCACCGAGTGGAGCCTGAGGATGTTGCCAACCACCTTACTGCCTTCCACTGGGAATTGTTCCGATGTGTGCACGAGGTGGGGACCGAGGCTGGTGCAGGGATGGGGGTCTGGAGGGAGAAGTGTGCCATTTGCAGGCAGAGTCTGCAGTAGAATGTTCCTGGTTAGAAGGAGCCCTAGTGGTGCAGGGGTTAAATGGTTGGCTGCTAAATGAAAGGTTGGTGGTTCAAACCTACCCAGTGGCTCCATAAGAGAAAAACCTGGTGATATGCTCCTATAAAGATTATAGCCTCCGAAAACTCTCCAGGGCAGTTCTACCCTGTCTCGTGGGGTCACTATGAGTAGAACTGACTCCTAACAGTACCTGGTTAGAATGCTTGCCAGCGGCCACTCACTACAGCATGCCCTTGGGCGGCACCATTTGGCCTTGCCTTCTCTAAGGCTTTGTCACCTCAGCTATAAAATGGCCAAGACAGAAACCCTAGAACAGAGTGCTTCAGGGCCCAAGCACTGTTTAGCACTTACCTGATGCATGGTTGGGAGCTCTGGTGGCCTAGTGCCTAAGGCATTTGCCTGTTAACCAGAAAGCTGGTGGTTCAAACCCACCAACCACTCCTTGGAAAGAAGACTGGGCAATGGGCAATCTACTTCTGTAGAGATATCACCTTGGAAATCCAAGGAGGGGTCGTTATGAGTCAATAGACTCCATAGCAGTGAGTTTGGTTTTTTGTTTTGACCCATGGTTCATATTTAATAAATATTCGCTATTAAAGAAATAAGTAGCTCTGGTAGCACAGTGCCTAAGGCATCTGACTGTTAACCAGAAGGTGGTAGTTCAAATTCACCAGCCATTCCAGGGAAGCAAGACTGGGCAATCTACTTCCATAAAGATTTACCACCTGGGAAACCCAGTGGGAGTGGCTATGAGTCAGAATCCACTCGATGGCAGTGGGTTTGGTTTGGTTATTAAAGAAATAAAACAACAATATAATAATGTCTACTAGATGGTTGTCTTAAGGATAAATCAGCCATAAAGGCTTTAGCCAAGTGCCTGGCACCCAGTCAGCGTTCAATATATGGTAGAGCATTGTTAATATTGTTTTTTTCCCCCATCTCTGTTGTATCCTGTCCTGTCCTTGCTTTTCTACTTTCCACCCCTTCTGCCCCCACCCTCTTGCCTTTCCCTCCTCACCGCCTCACTGCCATTTTCCCACCCACACACTCGCCGCCCTGGTGGCCCCTCTGCCACCGTGGGCGCAGCTGGAGTTCGTGGATTACGTGTTCCACGGGGAGCGCGGGCGCCGGGAGACGGCCAACCTGGAGCTGCTGCTGCAGCGCTGCAGCGAGGTCACGCACTGGGTGGCCACCGAGGTGCTGCTCTGCGAATCCCCCGGCAAGCGCGCCCAGCTGCTGAAGAAGTTCATTAAGATCGCCGCCATG